ACACACACACAAATATATATATATATATATGATGGAGTATATGGCCCGGGAACCCCCGATCCACAGACTCCTACTACTCCAATAAAGGCCCAATAGGCCCAGGAAGCACAACAGACTCAAAACACGACGTCCAGAGTACCAAGCAGCCCACAATGCGCACCAGGGGTGCCTTCGCCCCCTGGCTGAAGGCTCTGATTCTCACAGGAGGGTCAGAACAGGGAAACAAAATTACTGGGAAAATGGCAAAAATCAGTAGCCCTCGGCACCTGGAGCCCTCGGCACTAAAGAAGTCCCCGTACTCAGAGCCCTCGGCTAATCATCTACAGCCGAGGGGACCTTTTCCGACATAATATCCGCTCCACATGCGTATGGATCACCGTACCCAGTACAACGTCTCATCCAACAGCCGCATTAAATGCGGTCACATGCGATTGCCAGCGCCAACCAGTTGAGGTGACCTCTCGGCCAATGGACGCTTGACGCGTGTCCCTGTCTGGTATTTATTACTGCTATAAATAGCACCCCATTTCCCATTTGTAACCAAGACACAACACGCTGAAAACACTGAATACTTTCTAATATACTTTCTCTCTCTATACTCACTTGCTCTGACTTCTCTCTAGTTATTCCTCGTAATAACCTCTCGGATAAGCTACCCCCGGGTACACTATCCATCAATATATATAAATATATGTATATATAGACAAATGTTCAGGTCCGGAATTCCGGGCCAGAACCGCCGTCTGGCCGAAGGTATTTAGGGCCCTTCCCGGTGGCTTTTTTTGATTAAATTTTTATGGCATGTTCTTCATCAAGTCTAGTTTATCCACAAAAATATTCAGCTAAAAAAGCAATCTGGAAGGTGGTCAAATGGTTTTTGGAAGTTAACTGCGTTTTATATGTATTTTTTTGCACAGTTAGCTTCAAAAACTCATTTGACGACCTTCCGGATTGAGTTTTTAGCTGATTGTTTTTGTGGATAAACTAGACTTGATGAAGAACATGCCATGAAAATTTCATTAAAAAAATCCACCGGGAAGGGCCCCAAAAGCCATCGGCCGGACGGCGGTTCCGGTCAGGAAGGTCTGACCAGAACATTACTATATATATATATATAGGTTTTGGTTCAAATAAGAACATGATCTTAGGAGAGAAATGAGAATGAATCTGGACCGTTAGATTTGCTTTAAGTGAAACTCAATGTGCATTAGATGAAACTGTAATGTGCATTATGTGAAATTGAAATGTGCAGCACAAACGGTACGATACAATGACATTATGTGAATCTGAATTGTGCATTAGGTGAAATTGAAATGTGCATTAAGTGAAACTGAAATGTGCAGAATATAAGGTACGATGTGAAGTTATTTTTGTACCTTTTATTCCGCACATTTCAATTTCACCTAATGCACACTTGAGTTTAAATTTTTATTTTGCACATTTCAATATCATCTGATGCACATTTCAGTTTTACCAAATGCACAATCCAGTTCCACATAATACAATCCAACGGTCTACATTTGTTCTCATTTTTCTCCTGGAAGTTCGTTCTTACCAGAACCGCTCCCTATTTATATATATATATATATATATATATATATATATATATATATATATATATATATATATATATATATACACACACATATAATGAACTAACATTCTTGGCACTAAATCAAGATATCTATCAACCATTTTCTTTGAAACATTCACATAGAACGGACCTTAGATTTAGTCCTTCTATACTGGATAGGATTGATAGTACGTCTATCCATTGGTCTACCTGTATGGTTAGTTAAGTAATATTACTTCCGTTCCCATTTTAACTTCCAAATGGGTTTGGCACAAAATTTAAGATAGTGGATATTGTGTGGTGGAGAGTTGAGCAGAGGAGAGAGAAATGTATAAGAAATGTTGTGAACCACAAATTGTTTACCAAAAAAGGAAAATGAAAGTTTTAATTGGAACGGACGAAAAAGGAAAGTTGGAAGTTTATTTAGGAACGGAGGGGGTACATCATTGACGTTCTTTTAGACCTTAGGATAATTCTATCATTTGTTCCTTTAATGGTTAGTCATCAACAAAACCAAATAGCCAGCAGACATATACTTGTATAAGAGTTTGTGGACGAAATTGCAGAAGTGAATCTTGAATGTTCTAACGTCTAAATTGCTCTGAGAACCGGTATTTAGAAGTTGGACAGAACTATCTTTGAAAAATGGTTCAAATTCTATTTTTGTTTTTTTAAAAAATATATATATAAGCAAAATCAACTCTAAACTCGTTGGAGTTGTTCGCAGACTCCAACTTTGACTATACCATTTATCACTTTATGGAGTATAAATGTATAATTTACCATTAAACTTGTTGAAGAAACTAATGTAACAAATAAAAGAATACAAAAATACGATAGTACTGCGTAGTATTTATTTATTTTATTTATATAATACTCCCTCCGTCCCTTACAACTTTGTATCTTTCTTTTTTGGAGACGTCCCAAAAAACTTTGTCACTTTTCATTTTAATCAATTATTTTATGGTTTCTGTTATTTCTCTCTCCTCTGGACAAACCTCAACCACACAGTTTTTACTTTATTATTCTCTGTGTCGGTCAATTTTGACAAAATTTTAAGGGACGAAGCTAGTATGAAACGTAGGTACCATATTTTTCACAAGTTCACACATTAATGTGGTATAAAATTATTGGTTGAGAAAGGTCCAAGGAGGCAGGCGTCCAACCATATAGCTGATCCATCTAACCTTACTAATTACTGTCGACTAGTTAATGAAGAAAATCAAGAAACCTGCGTTTCACTAATTAGATGGAAGAGCAGTCGTCCTCAAGAAGTTACAACAGTTTACAGCTCCTCCGGGAGCTGGAAACATTAAGTGCGTCCCTCTATCCATTTCATCACGATCACGCCGCCGCTGCAGCTTCCACCACCCGCGGCAAGAATGAGGAGGAGGCAGGGGAGGGGGTCGGGGTCCGCCGTAAACGGATTAGTTTTAGAGACATGACGTCCCGCTTGCGGCGCCGTGATGAGGAGGGCAGAGGAGGAGGGGGCTGGAAGCTGCCCGTGCGGCGGGCAATGTCCCGGATCCTCCGTAATCCGCCGCACAAGCTAAGCTGCCTGTTCTGTGTCGAAGTGGCGGCGGTTCGAGGCCTTCCTACGTCAATGGACGGTCAACGCCTCGCAGTTTGTGTCCGGAAAAAAGAGACTGCGCGGATGACGGCGCGGACGGTCCCGTCCACAGTTTCAAATGGATCCGCTGACTTTGGGGAGACTCTATTCGTGATGTGCCACGTGTACTTCAGTGGCGGACGCGGCGGGACCCGCCTCACATTTGAGCCCCGCCCCTTTCTCATAAGTGTATTCGCGGCTTCGTCCTTAGCAGAAACAGGGGATGCCGGCGGCGGCCGGAAGCTGCAGCTTGAGCTTGGAAGAAGCTCTGTCGATTTAAGCCAATTGATACAGGAATCAATAGACAAGAGCTTTCAAGGTACCCGTCTAAATACTTTCATGTTATATCTATTTTCTTTTGAAAAAATATAGTAGGCCTATTTTAGAATTTCAAAACATTAAATTTTCACAATTACGAAGTATATTCTTTTAATATGACTAACAAATTTTTATTTTGAAAAGAAAAAATACTTAGGCCTATGTTTTACCCCTATGTAAAATGTATACATGTACATGCAGGTATACGTGTACGACAGTGGGATATGAGCATTAACATGTCATCCCAAAAAGCTTTGGGTGGAAAGCTTTTTCTGAAACTATGGTTTCAAATAATGGAAAAAGATGATGGAGGAAGAAGCATTGAAATTTACACTACTAGCGAAGGCGCACGGTTAGCGGCAGATATGTGGATGATAGCGAAGAAGGGAGAATATGAGTTTGCCAGGAGACAGTCTAAAGACTGCTTTAGTGTCTCAAGTAATGGCAGCGGGGGAGCACTGCCTTCTAAGAAGTTATTAATGTTGGATAACAATGTGGAGATCAGAATGTTGGATGAACTGAACCAAAGTGATGACAATGATGTAAGTGAAAGTGGTGATGAAAAAGGGGTAGAGGATGGTGATGACATGTTTGTTGAGTTTGATGTGGTGGACAAGGGAGTTGAGCAACAACACCAGGCCCCCGTCGATGAATGGGCTTCGTCATCGATGATCCTTTCGAATGAACATCATGAGCTCTTTCATCGTCTCACTAGCTGCTACAGAGTGAAAGTGCTTGATTCTATTTCTCAGCGAATCGCATCCCTCGAGTCTATCTTCTCATCATCATACACTGATAGCATGTCAGAAGGAGGACTAGGCAGTGGAGAAGAAGAAGAGGAAGAAGAAGAAGAAAAAGAGGAAGAAGAATCTGTTACAAGAGAATTTATTCAAATGCTTGACTCCATTGCTCAACCAATCAAAGCCTTTGAATCCATCTTCTCATCATCACACACTCATGATAACCCGCCTGAGGAAGGAGGAGTGGACAGTAGAGAAGAGGAGGAAATTGTCACAAGAGAATTTATTAAAATGCTTGAAGAGGAAGACGAGAAAGAGAAGGATTTAGTTCATAATAATGATGCATCAGAACGACTACATATCTTGGTACCACCTGATCTTGGGGAGGGGTTGGGTTGCGTTGTTCAAACAAGGAAAGGGGGCTACCTTGCATCTATGGATCCTCTCAAGGTATGCATGTAGTAGTTTGTTAGTAAAATCGATGTAGCAGTTTTTTTTTATGCAGTTCATATGTTAACAGCATGAAAAATACTTCAAAGCTCGCATTCATGATCGAACGCATTGTCTAGATTGAGTCATCATACGTTCACTCACTCACACACTCACTCACTCGTTGATTCATTTTTTCACTGGTTCATCATAATAATTGTTAGATTAATTTTAGTTTTGCAGTCTCCACATCATGGTTATGGATCATATAAGCTTTAATTGTTCATCATCGATTATTAACATTCGCACGACGCTGCTCTAACATATGTTTATTTGGTGTACGTATCTCGACCTGACCGACCAGTATGTTTCGAGTTCCATCAAAAAGATGTCGAATGTTGGAGCGGCGATAACAGAAGCCCCAATACTCTCAATGCAGCTATCACAACCACTTGTCCTTCTTCCTTCTCCCACAACAATGGAGGGGATTCAGTTTTTCCGAAGGCTGGCGGCTTCTAGACTAGAAGACATCAGCTCTCACGTTTTACATTTCATGCCTATGGATGATCTCCAAGGGAAGACAGCAGAGCAGATCGCTTTTGAAGGCATTGCTGCCCAAATCAATAGTCCTGCCCGGATAAGGAACCCGGAGGACAAGGAGGGCCCCACCGCCACTACATCAAATGCATTCTCTTTTGTAAGTATCACAATCTTGTTTTCCTGATAGCTTGCGCGCCAACCCATTCCACCCACACGGTTCAAGAGTATAAATAGCGAGACACAACCTAAATTTTTTTTACAGCAAACCACCAAAATCGGAAGGGTAAATGCCGCGAAACATTTACCATGTTTTATTGAAATAAGATTTTAAGAAAAAGGAAGAAAGAAACTAAACCAATACCTCTCCGGTGAAGGCATACCTTCAAAAAATACATGAAAGGATAAATTCAGTGAGATAAAATTTGGGGGGGCATAAACCTTACCCAAATGAAAAACATCTCAAACTAAACATCTAAAAGAAGGGATGTCAAAAAAATCCATGAAAAAGGACCTCTTAGCAAAAATCGGCATATCACTCGACCCAAAAAAAAAAAGATACGTTATCCGTATGGCCTTTAGCCAAATAATGAGCGGTCCAGTTACCTCTCTCAATGAGTTTCAATTCAAGTCAAATAAAAAATACGAGTAGAAATTAACCAAAATAGGACTAAAACATAAGCGAAGTTCTAAAATACGATAATGGTATATTTTCTTCCCAAAATAAAAATTATTTTTGTTTTATTAAAAATATAAATAAATAAAGATTAAGCTTCCCCAAATAGGAGCGCATGAGTGATCATATTTTATAAAGAAAATTATTTAACTCTTCTTTGAGAAAATTTGTAATGTTTTTATCCTATTTAGAAAATTTTCTCATTAAACAACATGAAATGAAGAGAGGAAATGGAAGAGAACAAATACATCATTATAGAAATTGCTCTAAAAAGCACTAAGTTGATTAAAAACGGGAAAAATAATTAAAATACTCAAATGTTGGGGTAATTAAATTACATATGCAAGTTTGAGGTGCTTACCTCACACTCCTTCAAAGTTTGGGGTATTTTAATTATTTTTCCCATTAAAAACATACATCAAATTCCCCAAGTTTAAAAATAGCACTACATATGTTTTAAAAGAAAAAAGTTGATTAAAACTTTTCAAAATGTGAGTGAATGAGTCTTATTATAGTCCTATTTAGGGGGTGTTTGGATCTCATTCTTAAAATTGTTTGTACTTCTTCAAAGAGTAGAAGCAGAAATTGGAGTGTTTGGATAAAAGTTCAGAAGTACTTCCGGTGCTCTAATTTACTTCTAGAAGCAATTTTCTTAGAAGCCGGTGGAGATCAATTTTTGAAAACTCATTCTGATTTATCTACATCATTATTCGTAAGCATATCAATGCATATGGGTAAAAATAATACATGTGGATCTAATTTTCATTTAAAATTTTTGTGATCGACGTGAGGGATTAGAGCATTAAACTCCATCACTCTCAAAAAAAGTTTAAATTTTTTGATTGAATTTATTTTAACCAAATAGACAAAATATCCGAAAATATATATGACACACATCAATTTTGTTTTTGTTTTTAATGGGTATAATCATACATTTTTTGTATAATATTCAACAAATATTACATAATATTTGAAATCGCCAAGTGAAATAATCGGGGTATCCGGCAAGACATCTTAAAATATTATTTCTATATAAAGTATGAGACGAATGAAGAGATGTCATATGAAATGGCAATTTGTGTCTTATTATACACATTATTTTTCCTCTTTTTTATTTAAAAAAATGATTGGAAAAGTCATTGGAAAGTTTTCCTATCGATTACAATGAGATCCTCTGTGCCTCCACGGCTGCAGAGACATATGAAATTTTTCCTCTTGTTTGCAAATGCTTTTGCTTATAAAAAGCAATTTTTGAAGGGATTTTGAAAAAAATGATTAATAGTAAAAGTTGATAGTGTTTGAGAAAAAAATGATTTTGAAAAGTAAAAATTGGTAGTAATTAATAGTAAGTGTTCTTTGTGTAATAGAAAAAGTAAAAAACACTTTTCACCTAAAAGCCGAGAAGCGTTTTTTTAAGTAAAAGTTATTACTTGAAAACAAACCCTAATAGTCACATTTAGTGACATAATAATGTGAGTGACAAAAAACATCTTTCGGTGAAATAATAAACCGATAGTGACATAATAAACATCCGTAATTTTCTATTTCTGATTTTATATATTACTCCCTTCGTCCCACAATTTAGTTCACAATATGACTTTATTAATCAAAGTTTGTTAACTTTGACCATTAATTATTCAAGAACCGTATTATCACATAATACCAAAATAATTTTGAAAATACTTCATTTTTAATAGTAGTATATATTATCGAAAGCTAGTTTACTATAAGTTTTACATGTGTACATTTATATATACATACATGACCCGCCTCTTATTTAAGTTCACAGTTGGACTTTTCACGATCCCCAACATCGACATTTGGTCATGTTTATATGTGACAATTTTATTGTTTGTCATGTTTATATTATCGAAAGCTAGTTTACTATAAGTTTTACATGTGTACATTTATATATACATACATGACCTGCCTCTTATTTAAGTTCACAGTTGGACTTTTCACGATCCCCAACATCGACATTTGGTCATGTTTATATGTGACAATTTTTATCGAAAGAAGGTTGCTTATGAAACAATTATTAATGATTTTCACGATCCCCAACATCGACATTTGGTCATGTTTATATGTGACAATTTTCATCGAAAGAAGGTTGCTTATGAAACAATTATTAATGATTTGTTTTATATTGGTCTACGAGAAACGTTTTTAAGTAATGTTTTTTCTTTGAAATAATTACATAAATATGATCAAGATAAAGATGATTTACAAAAATATGACTAATGACTAGAGTAGTAATGAAATCATAGTAATTCATGTTCAAATTTTGAGCTTAAGTTACCACAACACCACATTGTAGTAATGAATAGTCATATTTATGTAAATATGTTTTATTTTAGTAATATTCTTGTAAAAAACTCTTTTTCTTTTTATTAAATACTCATGTTGTTGCTTTTGCTCAAATATGTAACTTATAATATTACGTAGTAATAAAGTGATTCTCGTCTTTATTTTATGAACTTCATTGCCCAAATATGATTTACTGACTTACTGTTTGTCATGGATAAATGTCCAAAATAGCGTACCGTCCATAGGCCCAGAAATGGACGTTCGTGATAAGAGGGATGAGGGTGGTATTTTGATTGTCACATACTACGTATGTAAATGTAATCACTGTTTGGCCTTAATATACTGACTTAATTGTACATATGAATCACATTCCTGTATATATATGCATGTCATAGCCGCAGATCCGCCGCACATTTGGTGCAGTCATGGCAAACACAAGAAACAGAGGTGCACAGAACGTGGGGGAGGAGGAGGATGACCGTTTGACAGTGGAAGAGCTGTTAGCATTCGCAGTCCAGAATGTTGATAAAATTACAGTTGACGCCCTCAAAATTCAAGCAGGCGTTGATGAAGAAACTGCAGCAACGCTTGATGATGTTTCACCACAATCGTCTAGCAATACTCAAAAGTATTTAGAAGAAGAAGAAGAAAACTTGTTCCCACTCGAGCGTGCGGTTCCACTGCCTGAATGGCTATTAAGAGATGATGGTGGTGGTGGTGGTGGTGGTGATGAGAGTATAGTGATATGTGTGGTTGTGCAACTGCGGGACCCGTTGAGGCAGTATGAGAGCGTCGGAGGTCCGATGATTGTACTTATTCAAGCTGATTGCTGCATGAAACCGCCGCCTCATAATAATAATATTAAGTATGATGATGAAGAGAAGAGATATATAGTACGTGGGGTGAACATCGGGGGTATAAAAGTGAGAGGCGGCGGCAGCGGGGACGGTGGCCGGAAGGGAAATGTGTGGGACACCGAGAAACAAAGGGTCACTGCCACACATTGGTTGATAGAATATGGACTGCTTGGGAAGCCAAAAAATCCAAATGTCATCAAGAGTAGTGCCAAGGAGGATTTTTTGTGGAGTTTTTCCTCACTCAAACTATTAAGAAATCCAAATGTCAAGCTCGCTTGCTCACAATATTAAAAGGTAAAACCCAAACATATTCTTTTTTTAGTTGAAACATTATTGCATTTCACGCAATTCATATGTTCTACTTTGATTATACATAGTATTTTATTTATTAATGGATTACTTATATATTAAAATTTTGAAAACTTTTGTCAAATTCCTATCGTTTTAAATTTTCAAATTTGAATTGTTATTTCGTTTTGCAATAAGAAATGAAATCTATTAATGATCGAAACTATGTATTGAAAAACGTTAAAATTGAACCCCTTTTAACTAAAAGAGAATGGAGAGTATATATTTGAAACTGTTTAACTTGACTTTTTCTCCTCCTATTGTGTACCAGAAGATGATGGAAAGCAAGAGCTTCATCGGGCAAGGCAATGAGACATGCACAACCAAGACGGCGCAATGATGGATTACGTAATTATAATTTCTTGTTTAACCAACTTTCTTATAACATTAACAATTATAGCATTATTAATAACAATTCAATTTGTACATACTTTCTTATACTATTTTTATATACACACTTCTGCGGGGAGACTATTATTAAACGTGGGCATAAGATGTGTATACGAAAGTATGTACAATAAGTGGTGTATAAGGCGATTAACTACATCTCAAGATCAAATTAATCTTGTATAGTAGAGAGTTATATAAAAATATATTACCTTCGTCGCACTCAATTTTGTTAACTTTGTATTGGATGTGAAGTTGCAAATAAAATTGTTAGTAAAAATTGTGTGGTTAAAGAAATGTCACCAATTCTTTAAGAAAAGGAAATTGACACTTTTTGTGTGGTTAAAGTAGGGATGGACCCGGGCCGGTCTGGTTCCGGTTCCGGGCCGGGCCCGGGCGGGTTTTTTTTGCAAAATGTTGGGCCCGGAACCGGCCCGGGTTGATACCGGGTCCGGGTCACTGTTTGACACTGTTTTGCACTGTTTTGACGTAGATAATTTGTGAAATAAGGAAAGTAAGGAAGTGTGAATTTAATTTAGGAACTGCCAAAAAGGAAAGTGGTATTACAAACTCAAAGATTTAAAAGCTTAAACTATTTGAGCATAGAGTACAAAAATTATTTTTCTCGGACAAATCAAAATGCACTCCTCTGAAATTCAGATCCAGAAGGAGGGAATACTAAATAAACATTAACCAAGAAAAACTAACACCTTTTAAATTATACCTGGATTTCTACTATGCCGTATTTATATTAGGGTGGAAATTCTAAATTTATAATAATCCAACTCGATGAAGGAAATTAAATATCCCCCATTCATATTATTTCCCATTGTATCCAATATCCCCAAAAACTCTTGAATTGTTGAAAAAAAATATTCTTCCACAAATTCAACTAGCCTTAAAATCCATCGAGGCCGTCCATTTTTCCCGATCCAACCACCAAATTCAACGTCATAGATTAAGCGGGACGTGATTGAAATCTTCCGATACGCCCCTGGATGATCGGACGTCGTCGCTTGTGTACGAAGAGTAGAAGTCATCCTCACCGTTCCTTTCTCGGACTTCTTCGATCCTCTCCACAGCTTCCCTCATGTCCCACCGCTCCTCCACGTGCACCTCACAACAGCTGAGCGCTATCCTCAGCAATTTGACAATTTCACCCTCGGAGTTCTTCGAAACCCCCGTCATGCCCTCGTCCAGTAAAACCTCCAAGTTCGGAACCGTTGACCGGACCCAGTCAACGACGTCCACGTCGGTCGAGAACTTCCCGGTCAACGTCTCGAGAATCAGCGTCCCCAGGGACCAGACGTCGGTTTTCCGGCAGAGGCGGCGCCCGCCTTGCCTGAAATCCGGCGACCTGAAGGCGATCATTTGCTCCTCGGCGTGGTCTTGGTTGACGATGGGTAAGAGGCCGTAGTCGGTGATTAAGGGCTCGTACGAGGAATCGAGAAGAACGTTGGAGGATTTAAGGTGGCCATTGGGAACAGTCATGCTGGGAAGCTCGTTGAAGAGGTAGAGCATTCCCCTTGCCACTCCCTTGATGATTTTCAACCGAGTTGGCCAGTCCAGGTCTTGCTGCTGATGATTTGAATTGCTTTTCTTACCTGAAGAAACATCCAATTCATCACAAATATAACATGAATAAGTTCTTATGTTGTAATACTAAATTAAACATATATACCATGGAGATGATAAGCCAAGCTTGAGTTCTGAACATAGTCAAAAACCAAGAGTTTCTCCTCCTTCCTATAGTAGAAAGCCAGAATAGGAAGCAAGTTCTTGTGGTTCAACCTCCCCAGCCTTCTCATGTGCTCAACGAAATCCTCCTTCTCTACATTACTCATTTGTCTGAACCTCTTCACAACCACAACAGGCCCGGAGCTAAGGCCCGCTTTGTAAGTCGACCCAAACATGCCGTTGCCCAGTACCTCCGCAGAGGCCTTGAGCAGGTCAGACAAGTCAAACTTGCCTGCCTCTTCGCTCCTCAAAAATGACAACTTAACGGCTGTCGCGTGATTGTCAGTCGACCTCTTTCCACCGCCGGCGATATGATGCTCCGATGAAGGAGCGGAGCCTCGTTCCATTTTATCCATGTCATCCGTGGTGTGGGTGCCCACCTGCGCTCGTGTCGACCCGCCGCCATCCTCGTTGTGATCGGATTGTCTCTTGCGCATGGCGAAGATGATGGCAATGGACACCGCTATGACTACTAACACGGCGATTCCGACAATGATTAATGTTTTAAATTGAGAGTTATTGGAGTCTCCCAGTTTATCAGCCTTGCATGGCTCCAAAGGCTTTCCGCAAAGGCCAATGTTTCCTGTAGTATATACGGAGTAAATAATACTGGTTTGATGGTATAGAATCAAAAATTCAAGATAACAGTGGGCAAAACCAAATTGTGAAACTGAAAGGCCATTTGTAACACTTTTTCGTTTTATGAGATTTATGAGCCGACTTTTTCACCAAACACGTAATTCTTGTTTTCGCACGTTGAATTGTGTGTAATAATAAGAAAAAGTGAGGTTGGAGTTACATTTCTGGTTGTATTGGCTGAAGCTACTGTAGATGGCCATTTTAGCTAATTGTACATATAATTTTTTTCTATTTTATTAATAAAATATATTTAAAAAATAATTTTTTATTAATACAACAGAATCAAACAACGCAGTCACTTCAGCCAGAACTTCTTAAATTGCAGCAAAATCAGCTGAATTAGCCGATTTTCGTGTTACCGGCCAAACGGGCCCTGGGTATGTTTTGTTTTGGACTGGTCATGTTTAGTCGCACCTTTATCCATAAGCTTTGTTGCAATATATATTTTGGAAAAAACTCATGTTACATAAAGCAATGTTTTAGAGAAAGAAAAAACATGTAATGTGATAAAATACAACGTACGGTGAAACAACTTGATGTGTTAGAATATGGTGTTCCATCTTAAAATTAAAACAATGTACGGACTAACCTGAAATATTGTACTCCGTACTACGTAGTATATTACGAAGTAATTTATTACTTTCCCAGAATTATCTTCATACTTTCTTTTTTGGTCCATCCCAAATTTATCCTCTTTGCCTTTTTGGCAAAGATTTTGTGGTTCACAATTATTCTTACACATTTCTCTTTCCTCTGCACAATTCTCCACCACACATTTCTCACAATCTTAAAACTCGTGCCCAGTCAAATAAAGAGATAAATCCGGGACGGAGGTAGTAGTATTACTACGTATTTTTGTACACCGAAAAAAATAATCCATTGTTTAACTTTTGACATTGTAGGTCAAAGCGTTCAACATACATACGCAACATCCAAATTTGGAAAACTTGGAAACATATGTTTCATGATTTAATTTTCAAAGTTAATTATTGGATATGTTTCTTGTGACACATATAAGCATTATTATGAGACTGTTATACACATTTTGATGATGCATTGTTCAATCAATTATGAGACTAAGCTCTAGTTCATGTTATTTTTTTTTGTTCTGTTAAATTTATATATAGTACCTGAGAATGAGGCCGCTTTGAGACCAGAAAGCTTAGCCGGGATTTCACCTTCAAGATTATTGTTAGAGAAATTAGCAATGGTCAAATGATCTTGATTAAATATTGGTATCTGTCCATAAAAGTTGTTGTTTTCAATCATCAACTCTATAAGCCTTTTGGATGTAGCCAAGGAGCTAGGAATAGCTCCCGAAAACTGGTTGTGTGCCAAATGAACTTTCTTCAAGGATTGCATTCCGGAAAAAGCATCATCTGGAATCTCCCCGGAAAAATTGTTACGAGACAAATACAGGAATTTCAGAGACCCAAGTTTCTTAAAATTAGGCAATGGACCTTGGAAATTGTTGTTCATGGCGCCGAGAACCCTAAAAGATTTCAATCCCATGAGGGATTCCACGTCAATGGTCCCACCAAGTCCCCTATGGTTCAAATTAAGGCCGTGGACGTTGTCTCGTATGCACAACACCCCGTACCAGTTGGGGCGGCCCCGGGTGCACGGACTGACCCCCCTCGGGTCCCAATTGGACAACGAGGTAGCATTCACCAATGAGGCTTTGAAGGTTACGAGGATCTCTGCCTCGGTTTTGCTATAACAAGTAGAAATAAAGCGGAGGAAAATGACAAGAATCAAGATGGAATGTGACGAAGAAGAGATAGCCATGATGAGATCAGACAGTGGTGGGCATGCGCGCACTTGTGACAAGTGCGCGCCCGGTGGAGGGGCTGCTCCTACAAATCAATATGGTGAATGTTTTGAGGGAAGAGACGGCTTACAAATGGTTTGAGATATTGTGTGCATGAAAATTGGAACAAACAACATAGTGAGAGAGAGAGAAGAAAGGGGCTTATTGTAAGGTGTTGGCATTAGGCTTTCAAAAATGGACAAATGGCTTGAAATCAAGTCAAATTGATAGGGTCCTCTTCTTTCTCTACTCAATGCTTTACTCTAGCATGAGAGATTTGCGATTAACCGTTATATTATTAATCAATTTATTAATCAATATATTAGTTAAATAATCCTTTCAAAAAAGCAATTAGTTAATTAATTAATAAGTAATTTCTACCTAGTACTTATTTGTTGTATTTAGGGAGCTATAACAATAGAGTAATGTGTGGATAAATATGTGTAAACCATTACTTTTAATTACTCAATTGAAAATTCTAACAAAATCAAAATGACCTGTTTAGTAAAAACAGTTATGTGAAACACATAAAGCCTTTAAAGATCACATGATTTTTATTCGAAGTTTTCTTTTAAAATATTATAGAAATAAAACTTATTTAAAAAAATATGATTTCCTTTATTGGATCCTATTACAATGTATCCATTTAACCTCTAAATAATTTCCTTCATTGCTTGCTAGGAGCCTAGACTCCTGGTAATCTTCACGCTTCAAGTACACAAAAGAATGGATTGATTTCAATAAGAATTGCAGACTGCTAGTGTTAGTTTATAATAGTTTGATTAGTTAGAATTATCCAAGACTCCCCAATCTGGTAAACCTAATAAGGAATGGTTGTAATATGAAGACCTAGGCTAGCTAGAGTATACACAGTGTTACACCTGAGACAAACTTTTACCTTGTTGTTCCAAAAGGTGAAATCTCCCACCTCAGGAGTCTCCACACCTCGATCCAACATGATTTTTGGGATGATGTAAGTCACAGTGACTCAGTCGGCCCAATGATGATATGCGTTATACCCGTGCGCACCAGA